TGAGAATAAAGAGGTAACAGGGCTTTCGCTGTCTTTGGTTAAAAAAAAAGTTGAATGCTGGGATTATTTACTGTCATCCAAGATGTTTTTTTTTTAAAAGGCAATAGTCTGTCAAACAGGTTGTACTCCACTGTATGCAGAATTCCATCTGTTCAGGGGATATTGCCAGCACAAAAGAGACTTAGTGGAATATGTGTGACCTTACACCTCTGTGGTGGCATCAACAGGGCTGTTCAAAGTTTCAGTCTTAACTTGGGTAACTCTGCTGTAACTGATGGCTTGTACCAGTGCACGGGAGTCAGAGTTAACCACCAGGACCTGCACTGACTGATATGCAAAATGGAAGTAATTTAGATTCAACCTAATCCCAACCTGCCTAGCTCAGACTTCATGAACGTGGTTTATTTTTCAGTTTAACGTGCTTGAGGAAAAGAGAAACACTAATGTAGCAAGCATGGGATGTTCCAGTGGTATTTTTACAGTTACTTCAGTGTAGGAGTGTTTTTTAAGTTAAGTATGCATTCTTTCTTGTCGCATCACTGCTGAATGGCAGGGTCAGGGACAGTTCTTCTGGCCTCTGCTGTGAACCTGCACAATGCTCTATGTGACACGACCTGTGGCTGTGTCTGAGAGCAGCTGATTTTCTGACATGCAAAATGATGTGTTGTGGTACAAGAACAAGGTCAAGTCCCAAGAAAGTCAGTGGCTGCAGGCATTTCTAGTGCCTACTGAATCATATTTAAACCAAATAGAAGGGAGGAAGTTATTTCAAACTAACCAACTGTACTATCTGTATGGTGTATTATTAATGTAGCTTTTTGAAGTGAAAGCCTTGAAATGACTTAATACTTGAAAATATATTGTAAATGTTTCTTTGTAATTATGTGCCATTCAGATAAGAATACAATATAATAAAATCAGACTTGTTGATCTTTCAGTTTATGGGCTCAAATGTTTTTTCATCTTTTCGTGAATGACTTGGTTCATTAAACAAAGTGGTAAAATAGAAAGGGGAAAATGTTGCTATCTCTGGGTCATCAGGTGGAAAACAAGATGTAATGGATCAGGGTATGCAGGAGAAATGCTCTTGCTCTTCTGTCTTTAAAGGTAATTCTATGGTGAGGACAACACAAAGGTGTTATTCCTTGAACTACAGATAAAGCTGTACTTCTGAGAATTAGCACTTCTTGTATTTCATAGTTGTTATTAATTTTTTTGTTAATATGGATAGATTTTATCAATATACCACGGAGGAGTAAAATACTTATATAAACCCTTCTATGGTTTATTACCATCTTCTTCCTTTTTGTTTTATTTTAGGCTCTGAAGTTTCGTGACTGGTTAATTATGTGATGTTGAATCACAATCTTTGATCAGATTGTTATTTCCATACTAAACACTGCAGTGAGTGTTAAAAACAAAAGGTTTGATAGTGCTGAAAGGACAGAACATTTTCATGGCTCTGGATTGGGCCATGTACTATCTGTTCAGATTTCTGTTCATCTTTATTTGTAGAGGACAGTTTAAAACAGTGCACTGGCTTTCTAGCATGAGGGATTCTAGTGCAGCTTGATAAAAAGAAGCATTTCACAAAAAATACTGTATAAAAATATAAAAGCAAACTCTCATGCTCTGCCTTTTTGGCCTCTAGCTGTAGAAATAATCAGCACTGAAACGTGTTTGGTAAATTGTATGTACCATAGAACCAAGTGCTGCCAGTGTTCAGCTGCACAGCTATGCTACCTGCATTTACCTTTTTTTTCCTCAACAGAGGAAGAAGAGACTATTTAGTGTCTAAATAAGAAACAATTTCATGCTCAGTTCTCCTTTAGTCCTTGGAGTTTGATCCTGGTGCTGTGACTCTTGGTAGTGTTCTAAATTAACTTGTTTCCTCTGAAGAGCTTTGCAGCATCTGGGGGTTAAAAACAAATTGTTGCTTCTGTAATCTGTAGCTGCCTGGAGAGATGATATCAAAGGAAATGCAGGGAGCCATGTCCAGCACTTGGCATTTCAGATTTCTCACGCCATTTGTCAAAATTGTAATCAGGTTTCCCTGTGAAACACAGGAATCTTTGGCAAAATTCACATTTACTGATTTTTAAAATGCTGTGTTTTCTAGAGTTTGCAGTTAGGGAGGTTTTCTGCTGGAATCAGCAATATTGTGATTATAGGGCTGTATTACTCACTATTAGTTACACTGTAAAATGTCTGAAGGATATGTTATGTATGGGAGCTGTTCAAATGGACTCTGTTTAAAGAACACCCTGTGCAAAATTGCACATTTCCAGCTGCTGATTCTACATTTTTCCACCCAGTTTAAGTGGGATATGCAGATGTGGAGAAATAACTGTGTGCTCATTAGCAAGAGGATGCCAAGGGCAGGACTTGCACATATACCAGGAAGATTTGCAGGAGAAGTAGAATACATTGTAATGTTGAGACAGCATTTAGAATGGTTCATCTACAAGAAAAAAAGGGGAGCTTTATTACTATTTCTGTTGGCTCTTTTGTGTAGCTATTCTTGGCCTTCTTTTGGCCATAGTGACTTGGAGTAGCCTGAAGTCCTTTCTCTGGGATCTGTAGCCTGTGCCTGGCTTGTTTCAGTTAGGATCCAACTAACGCCTGTTCTCACTCAGTGTTTGTGGGCAGTTTATTACTGTTGTCAGAGGCCAAGGACTGGTTCTTGGGGATTGCAGGAGGTAGGTCATATCCTGTGTATGAAACAGGGAAGGGAAGGAACATTCCCAGATTCCCGTGTAGGCACTCCTCCACACACACGCATGCCAGAACTGGGATAGTGTCTTGGTGTCCTGTGGAATTCTGAAACAATTTCAGACTCTATTGGTTGACTTCTGAGAATACTTCTTCCCCTCAATACTTTGAGAAGTACAGAGGGTGTAACTGAAGTTTCCTTGTTCACAAACACACCACCTTTCTAATCTCAGGAGTGTTCAGCTGACCTTTGATGTGACTAGTGCTGAACATGTGAAGCACATGCCTGCAATTTGTGTGTTTATCAATTATGCTGGAAACCAATATCAGTCTTTGCAACTTAGTAAAATGTTGGGAATGCAACTTTTCTTTTTAATATATAATCTTCACCTTTCACTTTAAGAAAGGAGCATCTAAAGGATGTGGTTTGTCCAGGTCAGGCCACTGAACATCAGAATGTGCATTTTGATGGCCAAGGAAAATTATCACTTCAATTTATACCAAAATGAAAGTAGTATGTGGAAGATCCTTTTGAATATCACCCTTTAATAAGCACTGGAATCTGTTTTTACAGTATTTTAACTATATAATGTTAAACACTTGCAATAATCACTGAGCCAATCACTGTCATTCTTCAAGACACTATTGCACAATAACACCTTTATTTTATGTTTTTATTATCACAGGTAAGTGGTTCTGTTGGTTAAAGTCTGATGGCTCCAGAGATATGACAATTCACTGTCATGTAAAATACTTGGTCCATGGGAATCTCCAGTCGGGGTGATTAAGGTAAGGCCAAGCTGCCTGGGTGCAGAACAGGATGGGAACACCAGTGTGACACAGCAACACTTTGAGTCAAGGAAAACTAAATGATCTCTACTAACCACAACGAAGTTTGTATTGCTGCTTCCCTGTACAAATCAGGCTGCTGCTCCTGTGTATAGATAAATAATGTGTCATGTTCCTGCTCTAATGACCCATTTTTAAGGAAAAAGTAGGTAAAGATGATGAAACTCCTTCAATATATTTTCATCAGCATTACAGCATAAATTTTAACCCCTTTCAATTACAGGTCTCAATGCCGAATTCTTAATTCTCGTTAATATTTTCATGTGCATGGAATAAATATGTCCATGTGCAGCTCAGGGGATGCTAGAATTTTATTGAAGTGACTGTTGACCAGTAGCTGTAGAGCTTTTACAATTACAGAACCATTTAGGTTTGGAACAGACCCCCCAGGATCAGTGAGTCCAGCCCTTCACCCATCACCAGCTCCTCGACCAGACCATGGCACCAAGTGCCACTTCCAGTAGTTTTTTGAACACCTCCAGGGATGGGGACTCCTGCCACCTCCTGGGCAGTCCATTCCAGTGCTTAATAAGCCCTTCTGCAATGAAATGCCTCCAACCTGAAACTCTCCTAGCACCGTTTGAGGCTGTTTCTTCCTGTCCTTCACTTGTCTGGGAGAAGCCAGCCCCTGCCTATGGCGAATATTGCTTCTGTAGAATTCCTGATTTAGCTCTCAAACTGCAGAGTACACCTCATGCAGTAGGAGAGCTGCAATTTATATTGCTGTAAAACATACAGCCACCAATGTGAAGACACACTGACATATAAAGGCATTACTCTGGACCACTGATCTGAGACATAGCTGAGATATCCCAGTAATGGCACCAGCCCTCAAAAGCCTCTCAACACAGCCCCTTCCTTCAGGAAAAGACTTAATTTCAAGGCAAAACGGTTACAAGGCCAAAGGCTGGGTTTTTTATATGCTAGGAAGCCTGACAGGACTATGGCTGTTGACTGCGTTCTGATAGAAGTGTTCTCTACAGTGTGACCCATCTAATGCTGTAAAAGGGGTAATTTGTGATAGAAGTTTTGTGCTAGCAGAATGGAGAAAAATACTCGGATTTTGAGTAGATCTCTAGTAAAACCTTGCCTTAATCTTCCCCCTTTTGGTTGTGGGGTGTTTTTTTGTTTGGTTTTTTGGGGTTTTTTGTGTGCATGTTTTTTTTAAAAAACCAAATCTGTATAGTTTACATTATGAAGGAAAAAAACCTCTTTTTCAAGAATACTCATTTTTTACAGCTTCTAAAAGTTGTAGAATCACCTCATAACCAAACATTAAGCAGGCACTATAAATGTTTCTTGCCTTCCATTTCCAAAGCAACCCTGTTATTCAGGTATATACACTAGACATAATAGAAAGTTTAACCTGCATTTAAGTTCAAAACTTAAAAAAAAGCCAGCGCAGAGACTGTTTTTGTATTAAAAAGACACAGCAACACTTCTTTTTCTTGTTTATTATGGTTACTTATCCAAGGCAATTGAGAAGTTGCTTTACTTCATTCAGGTAGCTCTTCAGGATCCCTCCTACTGTTCATCTGCAGCAGCATTTTGATATAAATTCCATGCTCTTTAGTGGCAAGATATAATCCAGTCAGAGCCTGTACCAGTATACCCACACTCATCTTTCTGAAGACAGGCTGAGAAGTTGTGAGCCAGTAGCGTAACAGGTTTTCTTTCCCTGGCAAGGGAGTTGACATATACCTAAACAACAGAAACAGTGGTAGAAACTTTTTTTTCCATGCAAGTGTCAAGATTTAACATAAATATTTATATAGATAGTGATTTTCTCTTCCTTCTCCTATGTTAAATACACTTGGTGGTACTGAGCTCTCTGCACAAATGCTTTAAACCATCCTGACCATGTCCTAGGTTTCACCAAGCCTCGCCCTGCCCTTGCTGTGCTCTGAACTACACAGAGGGACGCCTGTCAGGGACTTTGGCTGCTGGGCACTACCCAGGGTCAAAGAGGTCTCTTGGCTGTCCAGCCACCTTCAGTGGTGGCAGGATGACAGCACACACCCAGGCACACCTGGGACACTTGGAAGGCTCCTGCTAAACACAAGGGCTTCCCAATGGATCACTTTGCAGATCTTATTTCACTTTGGTGTGGCTCTTGAAAACTTCATTTTGTAATTAGATGACCTTAATGTATATCTCCTTCCACACGCTAAATGTCTACAAGAAGACAAGTGTGCACAGATCAAATATCTACAACATTTACACTGAGAGCTGAACATTTAACTCATAAATACATTTCAATCAATACACTGCAGGTAAGTAAGACGTACCTGGCTGCAAGGCTCGCATTCAAGGGGATAGCCAGGAAAATGGGATAGAAGCCACCCACAACAGCACCTACTAATCCTCCTCTGATCACAGCACAGACCTCACAGTTAAGCTGACCTGCGTGGCAAACCACATTTCACTGCCAAGATCCACACATGCTCCACCACAACAATTTATAAGCTGCATGCAGCAATCTGAAAAGAGGCTCTTGACAGAAACTTCCAAACTGTACAGGTATGCAAAAAATTATAAAGAGGACTCTTCTTTAAAAAAACAACAACAAAAAAACCCCAAACCAAAACAATAACAAAACCAGTCCCAAAACAGAAACTGAGACAAAACCAGAAACAATCACTTGCACTGCAACCCATGAGGAATTTATCATTTGAATGCTGACCTTCAAATGAAATTGTACGGATGGGGGGAAATTGAACTGCTTTGTTGCAGTCACTTTTGCATGACTTTGAGTGAAAAATGCTGAAAGTAATGTGTCAAAGAATCTTTTTAGAAATAGATATAAACATATGTATGTCCTTTCCCACTCCACTTTGAGAACTCACTGCTGTCCAATGCATTGTTTTTCAAACTCTGCTTTACAAACTGAGTTTTTTCAAGACCACAACAGTTTAAGAGCACTGCTCTGCAGTGAGAAAAACCTCCTCTAGTGTTACAGAAGGCAAAGTCCTTTCAAAAGGGAAAAAAAATGGAATAAAGAGGTTTTTACCTGAAAATAAAGGGTCATGCACAAAAACTTCATAAATTGCTGCTGTTGAAAGAAATGGAATAACAGCCATTGGCATAGCAGACACCAGGGAAGCCTTTCTGACATGTAGGATGCTCCTGAAGAAATTATTTGCTACTAAGCCACATAAGCTTGAATTTGCAGCTAGGAAGAATTTTCCATGATTACAAAGGTTCCTGTCAAAGAGGGAAAGTAATTTCAGCAACTGAGAACTGTAAAAAGTTTAGTTTAGTCAACAGTACAATTCTCTTCTGAAAATCCTGCAACAAGGGGTAAGAGACAATCTCTCAGTGGTGCAAAATGGAGAGTAACTATTTTCAAAAGCAGCCAGTGCCACATCCTTTGTTATATGCTACACACTTCAAGAGCGAAGTGACAAGTTGAAAAGCTGTTGCTATAATTTTTCCCTCCCATTATATAATCGATGGAAACTTCATTAAAGCTCTCCTAATAAGCATGTTTCTAAGGATATTTTCTGAAAAGAAATGAGGAAATATATATACAATAAAAGATATAACTTTAAAAAGTCAAGTCAATCTACTTATAATTCTACATTTTAATATTTTGAGTAATATTAAGCACTGTGGAAAAGATTTCAGAGATGTACTTCCTAATCTCACAAAACTTAAAACATTTAATATGTCAGACATCAAGGACACCAACTATTTCTTGTTTTGAATAGGAAAATTCAAATTTTACCATTACAATCACAGGCAGTGAAACACAGGCAAACACAAGAATAAATATGGAGGGCTGAGATTAAAATTTTAGCAGCATTATTAGTACCCAAACCAGAGCAACTTTTAATGTACTCAGGACCAGCAGAATCTACTACGGATACATTGCACAAAAGAAAAGGAAAGGAGGATGGAAGAGTTGGGGTTTGTGGTTTTTTGTTTGTTTGAGCTCCCTAGTTTTAAAAACAAGTGCTTGGGTAAACAGGAACTCTCAGTTTGACTGCAGCATGCTTGCTTTTCCTTTCCAGACATCAGTGAGCCCTTGTTTGGATACAAGCTGCAAGTCCTGCCAGTGACTGGCAGCTACTTCTTTCCAAGGCCCAGCAATCCATAAGTCCAGAGTTTATATCCAGACATTATCTGGATATTAACAGACATCTATTACCACATCACTACTGAGTATCAGCCTCCCCTGCTCTCCTGGGGACGGAGGAGTTTGGGAGGCTGAGGGCAGCAGATCCTACACAAAGTTGCAGCCTTTGCTTTCTCACCTGTGTGGGGAGGCCCTGTGTTACTACCAGCAGTTTGTTTAGCCAGCAATTTAGTCCTATTAAAAAAATGTAAATAAAAGAAGCTTCTGATTACTCTTATTTCTAAAAAATTTATACAAGCTGATACACGCATACAAATGGCTCCTAACAGAAGCAGCTCAGGTCCAGTAAGGTTTTGCAGTGGCATGCAGTATCACAAACCAAAAGGTCATTTGTGAGGCCCAGAAGGCATTTAGCTGGCTTTGTGCTGTACAGAATCCTGCTGGTGAGCCTGCAGGACGCCAGCTGACTCCTCCACCACCACCTGGACACCTTAGTCTCGCCTTCCTGAAACAGGGAGCGGTGCAGAACGAAATGCAGAAACCAGCAGCTTGATGCTCACTCAGTTCTGGCCCCAGGCCAGCCCTGCTGGACACAAGATGACTCCAGCAGAAACACATTTCCGTTTCCTAGAAAATGTTCTAGCTCTAGCACAGGACCATGAGAATGCTCAGAGCCAGTCAGAACAGATCAGCCATCGCAGAACCCTCAGCACTGGGGAGCACATGCCAGAAACCAGCTGAGCAGGACCACAGCCAACACTGAAATAACCATATTAAAAACACAAAACAAATTTTCTGTTCTGGACAATAACAAGAATCTTCACAATTCACTTATTTTGTGACTACAAGGAAAATTTGTAATACAAGAATAAAGAAAAAGAAAAGCCTCCAAAACTTGAAATGTTTGATGCACTTATCTTCATTTATTTTACCAGCACTTACTGATCTGCTTTAGGAAGCTCGTTGAACATCTTCTGTATGATTTCCATCCGCTTAAATCTTTCCAAAATTAGTCTCTGCTGTGGAGAATCTAGTTCAAGAAACTCTCTTCCTGTCATCTTGAAGTCCTGGATCATAACGGAAAAAAATCCCAAATGTAATCAAAGTTACATAGCCCCAGTATGAATCAAGTAAACATTTACACTATTTGCCACAAATGCTTTCCCTATTTTGCATGGCAATACTGTAGGTTTAAATTGACTTAACTGTCAAACAGAACTGTAAGAAAAAACCCCAACCAAATAAATCCATACTTTGTAGACATAAATCAGAAAGCATACAGTTGCAGTGAGTTTGTGTGGCAAGGTTTTGGTAGCAGGGGGGATGAAAGAGTGGCTTCTGAGATGCCAGGAGCTCCCCCATGACTGACGGTCTGTTCCAGCTGGCTCCAAAACAGACCTGCTGCTGGCCAAGTCTAAGCCCAGCCACTAGTGGTGGTGTGTGAGGGAAAGTTAAGAAAGGGCAAAAACTGCTGCAAATCAGTAGGTGGAAAAAAGGAGTAAGAACACATGAGAGGAACAGCCCTGCAGACCCCCAGGTCAGTGCAGAAGGAGGAGCAGGAGGTGGTCCACATGCTGGAGGTGAGATCCTCCTGCAGCCCATGGTGAGGCAGCTGTGCCCCTGCAGCCATGGAGGTCCATGATGGAGCAGAGATCAGCCTGCAGCCCCTGGAGGATCCCATGCCAGAGCAGGTGGGTGCTCGAAAGAGGCCATGATCCCGTGGGAGACCTGTGCTGGAGCAGGCTCCTGGTAGGATATGTGGCCACATGGGGAGAGGAGCCCACCTGTGAGCCCAGTGGAACAGCCACTGCTGCTGAAGGACTGACCCCTGTGGAATGGACCCACACTGGAGGAGTTCACAGAGAAGTGCAGCCTGTGGGAAGGACTCCTGTTGGGGAAGTTTGTGGAGAACTGTCTCCCATGGAAGGGACCACATACTGGAAAAGGAAAAGAGTGCAGGGAGGAAAGAATGGTAGAGACAACACGTGATGAACTTTATACAACCCCCATTCCCTGTCTCCCTGCACTTCTAAGAGGGAGGAGGACATAGAGAAGAATAGGAGTGAAGGGAGAGTGGAGGGAATTATAAATAAAAAGAAATTATTTGGCTTTATTTCTCATTACCTTATTCTGATTTGATTGACAGTATATTAAATTTCCCCAAAGTTTACTGTTTTGACTGTAATGGTAACTGGTGAGCGATCTCCCCATCCCTACCACACCCCCTGAGCTTTTATTCATACCTTCTCCCTGTCCTGTTGAGGGGGCAGAAAGTGCTAAGAGCATCTTGGCGGCCACCTGAGGCCAACCCTTCACAACAGCTCTTGATTACACTTGGAGTTGAGTGATTCAAGTGCCTCTTTTCCCACACGTTTCACTGCAGAGGAAATTCCCCCAGATTTCCTTTGCCAATCATGCGTACCTTAAGCAGCTATTACAACGTGAAGGCTGTGTCCTAAGCCGTGCTTCGGCTCGGGATGCAGGAGCCGAGGGGACAGGATCTGGCCGGGATCGCTCCCGGCCGCCCGAGGGGGGTTCCCAACCCCGTGCTCTGGGATCCCGCAGGCAGCACGTCACGGCGCTGAAGGCACCCTCCCTCCCCGAGCCGTGCACACACGTCTCCCCCCAGGCCTTGCTGGAGCCCCGGGGCCCGGCTCAGGGCAGCATCCTCACGCCGGGGGCTGCGGCTCGGCCCCGATCTCCGAGCCCTCCGCCAGCAGCCGCCGTCCCGCCCCGCGCTGACCCCGCCGGCCTCCCCGCCGCGTCAGGCCCGACCTTGAGCCGCACGGACGGACACGGCCGCTCCCGCCGCCTACAAATGGCTCCTCCCACCGCACGAGCTTCCCGTGGGCGCCGCCATCTTGCTCGCTCACATGACCCGGGGCCATCAGAGGCCGCCTGCGATTGGGCCGCCGGCCGCCGGCCCAGCATGGCGGCCGCCGATTGGCCGCGGGCCGGCGGGCGGGGCGCGGAGCTGGTTGCCGGGGCGGCGGATGGCGGCGGCTCCTCGATGGCGGCGGGGCTGAGCGCGGATCCTGCACCGGCGGCCGGGACGCGGGGACTCCCCCTTCGGTGCGGGGAGGCCCAGTCCTCGGGGTAACCCGCTGACCCCCTCCCCTCAGCCCGTGCTCCTTCCCCGCCTGCCCCCTCAACCCTCGCTACGCCCGCTGCCTTCCCTCCGCTGCCCCTTCCCCGCCGCCGGCTCCGTTGTGCTCCCCCCGTCCCGCCCCTTGGAGCGCCCCTCGCCCCGGCTGCCTCTCGCTTCGCCCCACCTCCAACCCCTCCCTCGTCCCCTCAGCTCCTGCCCCTCGCTTGTCCCTCGGCAATCCTGGGGGAATTATCCTCGTGCTTAAGACCAGCGTGGCTCCGCCGGTCCAGTTCCCCCAGGCAGGCAGCCCTGTGTGCCTCGTTTCCCTTTGCGTTCGAGAGAGCCGGGGCAGGAGCGGGGAGGGGATGGAGGGGGCAGCCCCGAGTCCCGGCCCGCGAGATGCGGGACGAGCAGTCCCCGGTGCGAGCCGGTCCCGTCTCGCCGGGAGGGCGATGCGCAGCCCGGCCATGGGCACCGCCGCTGCCCGGCCCCGCGCCGGCGGGAGCGCTCGGAGCCTGCCCGCCTTTCTCAGGCTTTCCCTTAACGAATAGACGAGGAAAATCTATCCCCTTTCTGTTTCTCTTCTTGTTTTTCCAGAAAAAGGGGGAGAGAGAGAGAGGCTGATACTGAAGCCAACCAGCTGCACGTCTGAGTGGGAAACTCCGGACTGATCTCATGGCTTGCTTTTTATTTCGTTAATACTTCACTATCTCTGAAAATGAATCTTTTGTGAAGCTCTTCTCCTAACTCCCCTTATTCCTCTTTCACGAGGTGGCTGCTGCGGTGCAAGGGAAGGAATGGCATGAAGTAAATGACTCCAGTACAAAGCAATCTGCTTTGCCCAAATGCCCAGTGGGCAGCACTGTCACTTTAATAATTCCAGGTCAAGGGATTGCTTTCCTCGTTTTCAATCCTCTCTTTTAATACATGGGAGGATCAGAGGGACATTAAAGACCGTAAGGCTGGGTGGCTTGCTGATAATAAAAATGAAAGTGTCTGCCCAGTGACTTCTGTTGGGTAAGAGGGTGATATTTGAAGGCTCTTGTCTGGTGAGGAAAAAGGGATCTTTTCAGTCTGCTGTGTAGTCACCTAATACATAGCTAGCAAAATTAATTCAAGAAGTGAAAGAGCTTACTGAGGCGCTTTGGATTGTTTCTGTCTTCCTCCTTATTTGGATTACTTGGGCGATTTTGTCCTGCAAATAATATGTTTTTGAGCATGTACAGGTGGAGTATTGAGACAGCTGCCTAGAGATGGACTGTGCCTTAATTGTATTGCATAAAATCTTTTAATTTTCAAACCTTGCTGCCAGAAGAGGAGTTATAATAAGGTTTTATATTGCCAAGGAACGTTTGCTCTTGTATTTTTATAGAATCAAATATATTTTAAAGAAATTGAAAGCATCTCTTAAAAAAGAATCAAAAAGCTTCTTTTTCTCCCCCTTTTTTTTCCTTATTTGTGGAGAGCATCACAAGTCCAACCCAAGGGAACAGCAAGTATTCACAGAAATGAAGATTGAAGCTGCATTTCCTTACTGAACTGTAAAAGTGTTCTGCAATAGATAGTCAGTTCCTGACCTTGCAGAGTGTTCCAGTAGTACTTCGTTAGTACCTGTAAATAAGTGCTTGCCACCAGATTCAGAAGTAGGAAGAAGAATGCCAGTCAAGAAGAAAGGTGGGCTATGAAGCTTCATATCTCATATCGCGTCTTCATTGTGTTAGATTGTCGATTTCTAATACTTAACAATTTCAAATTAAAAATGCTTTAATGGGGAATGGAAATTGTTTTTCTTTTGCATTGAAAATGGGAGAAAAATCTGTGCAGTTACAATAATAATTTTTAAAAGTAATCTTATGCTGTGTTTTACGATTTACATCAAATTTGGCCTCAAATGTTTTTTTTTTTTTGTAAAGATCAGCTGTCTGATATTTTGAACAGACACCAAGAGCAAAGCTTGATGTTTAATTTTGTGAGAAACCTCTCTTACAAACGCTAATAAATTTGAAAACCATAGTTTAATCTGTTATCTATTTGTGACACGTTTGGCAGATAAACATCAGCTGTCAATAGCAGCATAAATAAATAACAAAGTTTCAAGGCTGATTTTAAAAACAAGTTAGGAGAGCTGTGTTTTGAAAGTGATTTGAACATGTTTTTTTTTTTTTTTTAATGTGATTTTAATTAGCTTGAATTTCCATGCTTTAGTGCAATATAAAACTACTGTCTCTAAGGCTGTAGTATGGCAGCATTTAAGAAAAGACAAACAGCCTTACATTTGGCCTCTTCTCACCCCAAATTTGTGTTTGCAGCTTTGGAAAATGTGACTCCCAGTGTTCAAACAACAATTGGGAAGTATATGAAGGCAAATTCTTACTCTGAAAACACTTGCAGACCTTAGGTTATTTCTGGTTTCTTGCAAATTGGACACTGATTTAAAATTTCTGAATTTGCTAATAGAGTAAGGGTCATAGGAACCTTTTTTTATTCTGCTCATCTATACAGATGTGCCTGGGTCTAATATATCCCTGGATCTGATGATACAAAATATGGGGGAAGGGGCAAAAAGTGAATGTTACAAACAGACATGAGGATGTAATCGATGTGACTTTGGATTCCCTTCCATATAGGAATAATCCTTCATTAGTTGCAAGTTAACATTTGCTATATAAATAACAATAAAACACACAGATTGCTAGAATTATTTTCATGAAAAAAAAACAATAAATGGGATTTTGTGATTGTGTTTTAAAAAAATGACAGTGTAGAAATGAAATTTGAAACCTGAAATATTTTAATGAATGGCCTTGTCATTCATGGAATCGCTTGCCATTATGTATAGCAAAGGTGGAGACGTGTGGAGGAGTTCCATTCTTAATAATTCATCCTGCTGTGCTGTAAGAGTGTCACCCTGATGTACTGCAGAGGCTTCTCTATCCTACATGTTCCTATCCTACAGAAGGAAAACTGAGGCTTTTCATTATTTAAATTTTAATCCTGATTTAAGTGATTTGCACTAAGGATGTTTCTGTGCCAGATGTTCACCTGTAATTCAGTTTCTGAATACTTTCTGCAGGACTTCAGGGGTGAAATCTTACAGGCTTCTTTGTGCAGAAGTGAGATTGACAATCACAGCAGTCCCTTCTGGCATTAAAAATCTCTGGTTTTCCTGTTTGTTTCCAGGCAGTTGGGGTCAGTCTTAGTGTACACCAAGGCTTGACTTTATTCTTTGGTGTTAAAAGGATGTGTGTTTTGACAACATTAAAATATAAAGTCAAGAGACCCAAATGTCCCCCTTGAAATGCTTTAAATTGCCACATCAATCAGTGTATTGAAGTTGCCAGTGTGAATGTATTTGATTATTAAATGGGTATTGTTAAGAATGTATGTAAGCTTGTAAATTGCAGGATTAAAAATTTTGGTGAATCAGCAACTTCATTGTGATTTTGAGAGACTTAATTTGTCTAATTCATGCAAAAGACTTTAACTTTCTAAATGTAATTAAAAGCATGCTGGCAACTCAAAATATTCTACCTATAACTATTCTAATTTTTAAAAAGATTGCTATTTTTTCAAGTAATGCCTGTTAATTCTATGAATGTTAGGGAGATTGAGGGGATTCTTCCATGTTTGGTTTTTGTTTTTTTTTTCCCATTTATTTAGTTTATAATTTTGACAGCAGTTTGTGGCTAACTAGTTTAGTATTTCTAATAATGACTTATTTTCCTTTGCTGGAGAAAATTTGAGAGTTCATGTCTACTGTTCTTCCCATTGAAGGCATCTGCAGAAATCTCAGTGGGATACTCTGTTGTAGGCTGTGAAGAAGTATTTCAGTATCAGCATTGAGGACAGGATTATCCCTTTCCTTGTCAGCACTTTTTTCTGCATTGCTATTTTGGATTTGATTAAAATATTCTCCTAAAATCAGTATGGCAACAGAGAAACCTGTGAAACAAGCTTTAAAACATACCATATTTATCACTGGAAGTTGTTACCAAGCACTGTTTTCTTTGGCACTGGCCAGTTGTGGATCTTTCTAAAGAACAACTGAAGTATTTTGGGAATTTACCATTGAAATAGCTCTCACATCTAATACCAGTCTTCAAATTTCACATAGCTTTGCACCTAATTTACACTTCACCTTGCTGCTTGATGTGATGCCTGCTATCTTGCTTTTAAAAGTCCAGGCCTGTATAGTTAGGAAAAAAATAGTTTGCTTAATAATAAAAATCATATAACTTACTGGAAGGTTTAATTTCTTATGGATGTGGAAAAAAAAGGCTTGGTTGTGGTCATGTGTCAGTACCTGATTTCCACTTCCTGATGTGCTAGAGTGAAAATATTTTGTTTTTCTGACTTCATTGTGGAGGGCAATGAGGCTCCACTGACATACTTGCTGGCAGTACCAGCAAAAAGCGAGGCTGGAAAGGGACTTTGGAATATCCTGTGGTGTTGGATGTGCTCACTTTAGGTATAGGGTGAGATACTATGGATTGGTGCACTCTTGCTGCACAGTTAAACAAAGAGCTTTCTCTTTGGCTTTTGTTTGTCTCTAATTTTGAAGTACACTTAAAGTTTTAAATCAGACAAGACAGGAGTATGACTGTAGTTACAAAAATTTGTTGCCCAGTGCCATTTAGAGATGAAATGAGATGAACAATTTTGAGACGTAAAAAATCAATTATTTTTTGCTTAATTTTTACCTTTTGCAAACTAGGGTATTTCTGAATAGAACTATTAATGGAAATCATATGGAATTTCTTGAGGAAGGCTTTGCTTCAAAGTAAAATAATACTACCATACAGAAGAAGTGAAGTTAGGTTTTTGCATGGGTTTAGATATCTGCTCTCCCTCCCTCCTTCTCTGAGTTACTTAGCTTGATTTCTATTAACTCTAGGAGACTATATTTAGATCTGTAATTGCACATATTTTGGATTCATCAACAGAATAGTTAATAGCAAAAATGTTTCTGTAATTCATTCATGTCTTTCACAGTGATGGAAAGAACTAATTGTGATGAAGACCAGATTCCAGTTTTGGAGCCCTGCTTGTGATTCACACAGAGATAGCAGGAACCCCCACATCTGGGTGCCTGGCTGCACGTGTGCTTCTAGACTAACCCTGTCATCCTTGCACATCTAGCTGTGTCTAGGCAGTCAGAGATATGAGTATTGGGTTTTGTGCTGCCCTCATCCCACTTTGGATCTCTCAAAGGGAGAGGGATTGTACCTGTAGCTGGATGAAACCTGTGGGCTGCTTTTAATACCATCCTGACTTGCCCCACCTTGTTGCCCACCTTGTTTATAAAGATGTACTGATTCTGCCATGGAATAACTTTTTGCATATTTCATTTTATATTAAAAAATGCCTTCCATGACAGATTTTATTAAGCACATCAATGTCAAGAATTAAAACGTGCCAATCTGAATCCATGTGGACAACTTCTGGGCCATTTAGAAGAATCTGACAGATGTGCTCTATGAAATGCCGGATTTTGTAGAGGTAATGCTGGCTTTGTGGCTGGTCTGTTGAAAGGAAGGGGTCTAAGAACAACTCAGCAGGAACTATTAAAGTTCATAAAGGACCAGACAATGCTAGCTCCCATTCATCTTTCAAACTGGCAGCTTCTTTTTAGCTAACAAAATTTAAATTTAGGATCATAATTTTTGTGCTCAAAAATCTCAAATATGGTTTCACTCTTCTTACATCTTACAGCAGCAAATGCAACATGTATTGGAAATTTTCTTTCTCTTTTGCTTGTAACAGGTAATTGGTATTACAAGATTTTTGTCTTTTCAGTTGCTGAATAGGAATTCTCAAATGAGTATGTGGCTAAAAGGCTACTTCCTTCACTCCAAGTTTTGTTCAACTATCTCTCGGCTTTAACAGTTAATTTCAGTATGGGAGCAATGCAAATTTTAGTTATGTTTCCAGACTGTGGAAAGCACAATTTTAGATTTCCAAGAGTTAAACAAACAAGTGTCAGAAAATGACTATCTAAACCATGCCAATTTTCACCACAAAGCTTTGATTTAAAGATGTCACTGCTTTTATGGCAGTGAGGTTTTTCCAGGCAGACATTGTTTCCACTGTGAGAAACAGTGAAGTATTTTGCCTACAAAAGGACTAAAGAAGCAAGCATTATACAGAACAAGCCTTTGTTATGTGCATGCACACTGCAAAACTAAGTGGGCTCTGGACTAGGAATATTGAAATTTATGCTCTTTTTTCAGTCCTTCTGTTATTCTGGTACTTCTCAGATGTTTAATGTAGATCCATCCCATTTTAGTTGCCTCACCAGGTAGGATGCCCAGCTTTTTGTCCTGGAATGTTGCTTTGATCAGCAGAGAGAGAGATCCACCTCCAAAGGGCATTTTAACACACCTAAGATCTGCATTGCCTTCTGGACAATTGTCATTTTCTCACTCCCTGTAGACAAAACACAGGGTAACCGCACTATAACTCCCTTACCTCAGGTTGATGATGTCTCGTTCTCTCCTATAAATTTTAGTGGCAAAACATCTCCTTATCTGAGATATTTATGAGAGCTGACACTGTGTATTCTGTGAGTGCTATAAATTAACACTATTCATTAATTTAGGGGGGGAAAATTGTTATAAATTATTGTACTATTAGTCACTGGAATTGGAAGCAACCGTAGTGTTGATACAAGCACA